GATAAAGGTTTAAGTATAATGTTTGAAAAAAATTTATGAAACAAGTTGTTAATTATTTTATTCCTAGTATTATTATTATTATTATTATTATTATTATTTCAAAACCTTGCTAAAATATTACAGAATCTGTATTTTAATTAAAGTATTAAGGATAAAATAATTTTAATCGTGGAATAGCAATATTATTATTTACATTGGAGTTAATAAACTACTCGTAYATAGGTATTGCAGAGCGGATTTTATGAAAACCGTGAAATTATTACAATGTTTAGGTTAATGATTATTACCTTGTAGTTGTATTGTTTATTAGACATAAAATTATTACTTATTACTTATTAGTTATTACGTCCATTGTATGATTAAATTCGAACTTCAAATAAATATCTGTTGAAATTAAACATATTTACAATACAATTATTTGTTAGGTACCAACCTATAATCAGTTTTAAACAAGTACCTAAGATAATTTTTAATATTAATCAAACCCGTTTATTTAAAATGCAAGACAAATAAATGTTATACAGTTTGAATAAATTACTAAATTCAAAAAATTTTTTTATAGTTCTCAAAACATAGATTGTTTTTTTTTTTATATTTAAAAATATCATAGGATTTATTGATAATTAAAGGTATACAGTGAAACGTCTACATAGCGTATACTATAGAGGAATTTCAATATGTCCAGTATTAAGGCGTGTTGGTTAATAAATGTTTTACTTTACAAATTAAACACTATGTTCAAAATGTGTTCTGTCTATATGCAATATAATAATATTTTAAACAGTTTTTGTTTATCATAGATAAATATGAATGACATTTGTTAATTTATGTAARTAGAATATTATTTTATTAAAGTAGTTAATTGAAAATTATTCATTCTACTTCTTTGAATTTATAGGGGGGTTTCCGTTTTCCGCCAAAAGGACCCTAGCCCTTTATCACCATGGCCTTTTTCTGCCTAAGGTTGTATTTCCGATTTCCGCCAAAAAAATTAATAAATTATTATTGAGAACCCCTGAACTGAATCCACATACCATGTAAGCTCCTCACCTTGTATCATACAYGCGCCAGCTCACCTCACACAGATATTGATCATAAACTATATTATCTAATTCTTATCTTACGACTATTATAAAGTATTATTATTCGACTATTTAGGTATACCCAGCGTATTTTCTAAAGCATAGTCTACTACTCTACTATATACGAATTGTTATGAGTATAAACATCACTCATTATTATTAAAATTAAAATTATATAAAAATACACATTAAATATCACAATATTTTTGTTTTCCAAATAATACATTATTATACAAATTATTTACTATAAAAAAAAAAAGAAAAAGAGATTTTTTTGACAAACTCAGTAGATGTACTGAGTACATCGTAATCATTACTGGCTGATGGATTCAGTTCAGGGGTTCTCAATAATAATTTATTATTTTTTTTGGTGGAAATCGGAAATATAACCTTTGGCGGAAAACGGCCATGGTGATAACGGGCTAGGGTCAATTTGGCGGAAAACGGTTACGCCATTTATAGAAACCTTTAAAAAAAAACCATAAGAATATTTTAAACAATTTATATTATTGAATAATAACGTGTATGAAGTAACGGCTGGCCGACCATGTGTAAGATTAAAAATTGAAAACAAATTAATTATTTTTGAGAAATGGAAAAAATTACGCAAAAGCGTCAAGTAATAAATTTAAATATATACAATTTTTATATTTTATTGGAAAAACATAATTAATTCTAACGCGATTTCTAAATGAAAATAATATTATAACAAAAATATCTAGATGGAGTACCTATAAAGGTTTTAGTATTCTTGAGTTGTTTCAAAAATGGTTTTTATGTGAGAGCTATAAAATATTTAAGGGTCAATAGTTAAAAGTTAAGTATAAATAAAAGCAAAAAGTTGAAAATCTATCCAGAGGACATAAAATAAAACAAAAATTAACTTTCTATATTGCTCATCGAATCTTTCACTTGGCCAAGATGTGCATAATATTTTCTTGCATTGGTTATAAAATTTTTAAGAGAAGTTTACACAGCTTTTAGCGAGTTTAATTCATGGGTTGGAGATCTCCGTCAAATGTCAAAACAAATTTATGGAACATTTACGTGAATTTTTCAAAGTTACGAGTAATAATATAATGAACATTTAATTATAATATGTACATATTATTATTTTCTAGATTATTATGCAGGTAATTATTGTTTATACGATGGTACTTTTTTATATTTATTTATGCATTATTACACATCAACGTTCCAGCTGCTGACCTCATCACTGCAGGTTTGTTGAAATACATGTATGTAATAATGAAATATGTATTATGCGTCCCTATAACGTATTATAATCCTCAACCTATTATTCCGCATAAATTTATGGAAAAAGGTTTAACTTTATCTTTTCCGATCCTGTACAACTTCGTTTACATGACAATAAACAATATAAATACCGACGGTTGTCAAAGAAAAGTGATGTGAAATACGTATTTGTTGAAAGTTATAAACTGCGTGGAATTCTAAGTTTAGATATAAATTTCACTTCTAAAATAATACACATCATATATTACGCGTGGAATGTATTAGTTTTTGTTATTAACTATTACAATTTTATAAAATAATCGCACCTATTCAATAATTAATCAGAACTGTTATTATTATTAAAAAAAAATATATAATTATATATATAAATAGGTTATACATATAAGTAATAATAACTAATTATTAATTACGCATTTTTTGGACTGTAAATCACTGTCTCTTGTTCTATGTAGGTTATATAAACTCATATATATTTATTTTAACATACTGAATAAAACTCGTTTTCAACAACCAAAATCATGATCCTACTGTTATCGTACATTTTTTTATCGTTTCATACTAAAATGTTCACACTATTTTTGTATGAACTACTTTTATCTTAATTTGTTGTTTACTTTTGACGATACATAACTTGAATTTGTTGAACCCCTGTGAAAAATTAAAAAAWTTCTTTTTTTGCACTAATTGAATAATCACAATTTTTGAATGGTTTATTTTATCGGAGCATAATATAACGCACCTAATTTTTGTTTCAAATCAATAATTTATTTTAAAACGCAAACTATTCGTAACAATTTGGGACTTTTTTTTCTTAACGAATATTTATTATAAAATTATTTTTCAAAGCACTCAACTTTCAGCAGCTAATTTTTAATAATTTTTGTCCATATATATTTGCTATATCATTTGACACTTGTTCTTGGCTGATAATAAGTCAATACTATTTTTATTTTGAAAATAACAAAATCTTCAGTTTTAAAATCTCGGGAAACAACAGTTAAGACTTCGGAATATTGTTTATATTCGACTTTAGATAACTTTTGTAAGCAAGGATGAAGGAGTTAGTTGCTGAATATGAAGCAGGGACTGCGCTATAAGTGCTTGTAACTACTTAACTAATCTATTTTTATTGGCAAAATGCGAATTACTGTCTTCTCGTCGTAGAGCTAGTTGAAAGTCCCGACGATTTTCTAAAACATTTATTTAACGATACATATTTTTATGTCTGCAGAAATTACAAAATTATACGTACGGAATCCAAAGCAGTATTAAATCCCCTTGAACCATCTATAATCTAATACTAATATATACTGTACTCATCATTATTAAATACCCCTAAGCCATATAGATAGTAATTATAATTGAAGCCTGAGAATAATGACTGAATTATTATATGGAGTATTATTACCTTCAAATAAATTAAACGTTAATTCATGAATACATATTACATATGCTTACTGTTTTCAATTCGATATATAACATCACTTAAAACTAAAATCATCCACACTGGCATGCAAACATTTTTAAATTTCTGTAGATTTATGCATAGCGAATTCTGAATGAAAATGAAAACTAAATATAAGCCTAAATACACATATTGAAAAAAATCAATTCATCTATTTTACATCATTAATTAATGAAGACATTCCAAAAGAACTGAATGACAAAATATGTTGTTGGATCGACATAATAGAGATTAATTATCTWCAGTWATATAGACACATTTAAGCAACAAAAATCACCCAACTATTATTTATTTCAACAAATAAATACAGAAAATATAGGTTTATTTTATAACTATTTATTTATTCATTAATAAATTATTTAATTTATTTTAACTGAAGTCCCAGACATTTACATTTAATAATACTTATCATACTATGTATCAACTATCAATCTATGACAGTGGTTCTCAACCATAGGGTCGCAAATATAAGAAAATGTTTTAATATAAGTGAAAAAAAAATTAAATGAAGATAATTTTTTTCTTTTAGTTATGGTAATTGAAAAAATTAAGGGAATGGAGAGGTAGAATCATGTTGAACATTATTTTCAAAAAGGACGCATGAAAATTGGGTAAATATTTTGGGTCATCAACACACAAAGTTTGAAAACCATTGTGATTTAATCCATATCTATGTATTATCTTTATATCAACTATTTTTGATGTTATTAGATGATTAAGTAATTCCTACATGTCTACAAAAAGTATTGTACTATAATACTAACTGAAATTTATAATACGTTATTATAATTGATGGCATATAGTATTGGCAGGTACGTATTACTTAAGTCTTCACTAAATTGTTGTGGTAGTTGCTAAATGTATGTATGAAACATATCGGTAGTGAATTGTTTACCATTTAAAAATAAAAGATTTTATAATTACTCACATAATAAACTATTAAATTATAAAAAAATCAAATCATATAGTGTTTACCTATATGGTTATACATCACTAAGAATTATTGTCATCCTAACCCCATATGGCCATATTTCTGGATGCTATAATATACATATTTKATAATCTATATTATATTTAATATTATCGATATTCTATTATACAAACTATAAACCTACGATAATACGCTACACGATGAAAATAAAACGAAGTAGTACATAATCTAAGATATTTATTACGCCTAGAATCATAATACATACCTGCAGCTAGTACGGTACTGAGTCCAGTCGGTATGCCTAGCCCGAGGTTGCCAAATGAACCTTTCTCTTCTATGCAAGCCACGCTGCCCATGACGACTGCAAGTATACCACAAACGATCTGCGGGCAAGAATAGTAACGATAAATAATAGTATATTGATAAATTTCACATTGAATTACAAAATATAATACGTTTATCACTGATATAAGATACTCTTGTTGGACATCTAAGAGGATGTAAAAGCGTTCATTCTGCACATTAAATTTATTGAAATCGACAACGAAAAGAAGTCAATATGAGCTAGTGTTCAAATATTTGCAACTGTTTATGTAAGGGTTTCGTGTGTACATATTTATTCAGCAAGAAAACGAATAGAAAAAAACGTTATCCCAAAAGCAATAACTCCATTGGTTTCGGACACGGAGGTCCGAAAATGGTTGGATTTTGGACTGGCTATCGATTACAAATGATTTAGAAACGTGTGTTTTATAAAAGAAACAAATAAAGTGTCGATGTTATTTTGGCATGTATTGTTTTTGTATCGTATGATAATCAACAATGCTGAATGTTTCACATGTAAAATACAATGTATAGCAAAAAAAAAAAAAAACAAGGAAATAAAACCTGTACCAAGCACTATCAATACCGCTATGATGTACAACATTCTCTAAAAATGCTTTTTTTTTATATAATACAGTAATGTAATATACTCATTATATATAAAGTGATTCACCTCCCATGCTCATTCAATTTTTTTTCTTTTATCATGTATTTATTCAAATTTTGATTTTGGTAATTTTTAAGTTTAAAAAAGATTAATATCATTAATATACTTTGATGATTTTTTGATTTTTTTTTTTTTTTGTACCATTTGAGGAAGAAGAGTGTTTTCTAAAGTTACTAAACTTTTTTACAATTAAATTRTGGAAAAGATTATTATTATTTTTTTAAGTTTAATGAAGAAGAAAATGGGTGTGAACATACAATACAGCCTAGTCTAYAGCTTAGTCTGTAAAGTACTTAATATCAATTTATTATGAAATAATACTAAATAAATTTATGATAAAAATGTTAGCCCTCTTGTAATTTTAATGAATTTCAATCTATGATTTGTTCTAAAATGTAAAGAGGTACACTAATAAGTTATTTTTCAAAATTTGAAATTTAAAAATATGTTAGGTTCATACACGGATTTTATTTTAGCAAACGGAAATTCTAATTTTTTTGTATATTTATATCTTTGTCGTTGATTACGGTTGCAGAGTATAAAATAGTCATCATAATTAATAATTGGATAGAGTTAACGTGACATTAGCTAGTTATTATATGCTAGTTATTATATGCTAGTTATAGCAGAAACTTAACAAGTATATAATCTTAAAAAAAGATAGATATTATATTATTTATTTATAACACCATAGTTTTTATAATAATATACTCAGATTTGGTTGACAAGGTGGAATCATAGGTCCTCAAACCTATAAAGCCAGAAACAATACCACCAACAAGAACGGAATGGCCCAGAAATGAAATGAGAAGACTATGAATATTTAATTAATGTCAAAAATAAATATTATATTATATCATTACATAATAATTTTTGATTGACTACACATCGCTCCCCTTCACTTTTGTACCTAACATACATATAATCAAATATAATRAAATARTGGAAATATGCAATGTTACTATCTTCTTTATATAATGTTATTACCTATAAGTATAAAAATTAATAACATAATAACATTAAGTTATCTATTTATTATGTCTAAAAATGTGTGAGATTTTGTTCAAGTTATTATTTTTTTTT